TAACTTGGGAAATTAAAAGATTTTCCTAAAAAGTTATCTAAATTGAATGTTTCTTTTACAAGGCAATCTGCGGCCCTCTCATGGAAACTGATGAATACTACACTCATTAGGCGTTTATGTATGCTCTCTACAATTTCAAGCGTCCTCTAAAAGAGGTTTCTAGCAGCATACTTAAGACAGACTGTCATACTCGAGCTGGGTACATTTTTGGAGGCCAATGAATATATCATGAGTCATAAATTACATAATAAGAAATTTTCTAATTACAGGTAAAATGCAGTTTGTTTTCCACGCCAATAAGTAAAATTTGAAGTAATTGCGCGAAAAAAAAGTAAAATAAATAAATAAATAAATAACTGACTAAAGCTTAATTTAATGTGAAAAATACTCCCAAACGTTTAAGTGTGCAATGATGTGAATTCTGTACAGTGGCATATTTAAATGTATATAAAATTTTGCGTGATGAACTAACTACTTGCTAATGCTAAAGCAATTAATGAATATTGCGACTGAGAAAAAAATTTGGGAGGTGTGCTTGTTGGCGAATTTACGTTTTACATATATATTTAACAAATAAAAAAAAATATATATAGAAAACATTAATAATGGAAATGTTTCTTTTCTTTTCTGTTTCACCGCTTTCTTATAAATTATTCATTAACACCTAAGTAATGGTTATATCTATACATAAATACATGTATCGTATGTCTAGCGGCACCGATGGGAAGCATATGGAAAAAATGTATGCTTTTTTTTTTTGGCAAACGTGAAAAAATAATAATTAGAAAAAGGAAATAACGAATAAAACTAAAAATAAAAAAAATGCCGGCCGGTTTACTATTTATTAGTCATATGTTCATGTCTCTACGTCTCTGGGTGTAATTCATAACGTTTGAATGCCTGACTGCTGCTTCACTATGAAGGTGGGTGTCTTTGTGTGTACGCCACATTAAATAGTAACCAGTTCTCCCGTTTGCTTTTCACTTAGAAACAACCTGAAAAAATCATATATGTACGAATAAAAATTGAAAATTGTTTTTGTGCAGAAATCTCTTTTACGTTCTCTGCAATTCTATGGAAAGACATGGCTTAAGTTTTTTACCTTTTTTTGTCTTTTTTTTTTTGCTGCTTCGTCTAAGATACTAAAAAATATGTCGTTCAAACTATTTTGAATAAAGCAAAGGCGTTTGCTCTATAAACTGACCTTCAAAGCGTCTGGCAAAATTAAATAAAATTTTGTGTGGTAGTTAAATAAATTTATTAAATATGTCGATCAATAAGTTCCGGGACAAAGTAAAATTTCTCTCATTGTTCGATTTTATACATCAATGAGGGAATTTCAACGATTTTCTAAAATTTCTATGATATTTTTTATCGCGAACATTGCGAAGACCCGCACAACAAAATACGCTTAAGTTTTCGCATCGATTTCATCATTCGACTTAAAATCTTTGCCTTTGGAGTAGGCTTTTCAGATTTGCTAACAAATGATACTGAAGGGCCGAATATGAATAATACAGTACAGTGGAATTTGACCGTCAATGCACGCAATAGAACATATACAGCCATCGGCTTGAAACACGGTCCATTTTTACAGTATGTGTACATGTGATACCCATTTGGAAAGCGGTGCACTCGTGGCGAAATAGACTTTCTGAATGCACTTCCTTTCATTATTCTTAGGACGTGATTATATATTCCATATGTTTTTTCCCATCAAGATGCAGCGCTTAATCAATACCAGAAATTCGGGATTTTTCATTTTTTCGAAAAGAAAATTAACGCCACTAACGAAACTATTATAATTTGGAATATAATTTGCATCGGCCGAAAGACATGAAATTATAATGGGAGCTTTTCGATGCTGGCATTGTCCGAAGATAGAGACAACATTTAAGCGCCAGTCCCAGGAATTTTTAGCCAATGTATTGAACACAATCCTCTCAAACATTTAAAACGCCGGTTATAAGTAATACAACTATGCTTTACAAGCTATTTTCATAACTCGCCTAAACATAGGCTAACATTTTTTTACATCATGGCAGTTTGATTGGAAATTGCGGTCAATTTAAATCGATACTTGATGACAAAAAAAAATTGGCCGGAAGCCAAGAATAGTCTGCAATAAAGCTAAATAATTCATTTTTTTGAAGAAATGCATTCAATGACAATAATTTTAAGGAAATTATCGCTCGAGGACAATTAAAAAACACATCAATTATTTGAGTTTTCGCAATGAGAGCTTTAGGCTCAATCTGAAACTATTTCCTTTTTACAAAGATCGCCACACAAGCAAACTTACGGTCGATTAAAAATAATTCATTCACAAAGTTAGGTATTTATTAGTTAATTAATTATCAAGTGTATGGATTCCTCAGCTGAGTATGAATATCGAATTCAAATTCGTAATGAGGCACAGAGTTTCACCTGATTGGGATTAATTGAAGATCATTTTATATTTGTTAGAAAAGCATTGAATGAAAGTTTATATCGTAACTAGAAAGCTTATGTCTTCATGAACTTGAGGAGGAGTTCGTAATTCGTAAGAAAATGCTGTTGTGCCATTAGAGCTGAGAAAAATTTCTTCCAAAGGAAACACGTACCGTTAGTTACTTTTGTCGACTCGCGCACAAAAGAACAAAGAAAGAAAGAAAGAAAGTCAGCTTCTTGCAAGCGGTTGGACGTTGATCCACACTAAATTTGTTACATCTTCCCCAACCTGAAGACCTGAAAGACGCGGACTCATTCTAGCAAATTTTAAGTATTGGCCCATCTTTTTTGACAAGCGTATCCCTGCGTTTCGAGTTGTAGGGTAAGCGCATTATAGTTATAAGCGGATCTCTTTAGTTCCTTCTCAACAAAAAAGATATACAGATAGAAAGTATGTCGATATATTTATATATATTTATTTCGTACATTGCAGAGAGATATTTTTTAATTAAGAGTAATGGACTATGTTGGACATTTTCTAGATTTGCCATCAGACAGGCTTTTAATTGTACTCGTGAACAACTACAGAACCATTTCCTTCCTCCTTAAGGTCAATTTATTTTTACTCAAAAGTTGCTCACTAAATTGTGTTTCAGATAACATTTCACGCAATGAAAGCATATTTATTTTTAGAATATTCTCACACCCAAGTTTCACGCAATATGAAAATTTGCAAAAAAAAACGACAAAAGAAATTGTCAAAACTTTCCATCACAAACTTTGCATATAAAAAAAAAATTATAAATAAATACTTAAACACCGACTTAAATATTTCAAAGTATGCAAACATTTATAAATTATCTACGAATGCATATTCCATGACTACATTTCTTCTTTCCTTTTTTTTTTTTCTTTTCTGAATTCGACAAAAATACAGTTTTTCTTCCCTTTCACAAATCAGCAACACCCAAGCTAGATTGCATGTTATGCAAACTGTCGAAATTATCATAAGCTTGTGAAATAAAAAAAATAAAAACGTTATGAAAAGAAAGAAAAGAAAATCAATTCCTCTAAACAAAAATTTAGCATTCAACTGTGTATGACTTAACCAAAATACTATATTATTCTCTGTTAGTTCGTATTAAAAATTGTGGAAAAGCTTAACTAGTAAAGATATGCCTAAGTACGTTCATAAATACTAAGGGCCATTGACTTGGTAATAGAATAATCAAGTAAAAAAGCACTATAATAGGCCAGCGCATACCATTAAATACCCTACTCTGCTCTACTCGTTACTCATCTAACGACTTTTCAAAATAAGACCTGGAAAGTGGTTGAAAAAATGGGTCGATCCGAACCATCTTCAGTTGGGTTTGTCCTTCAACTCATTGTACTGAATTTCATGAAAATATTTTATTAAATAACGATCTGTATGCTTCACACGAGAAAACAAGACGGACAGACGGACAGACAAACTGTAGTCAATTCAGAAAGTGATTCGGAATCGACTGGTATAATGAGGAGTCTCTCTTCACGCACAAACTTAATATATCTTTATAGTTCAATTGGTGCAGGGTACAACAGGTAATCCCACTAGAGTGGGTTACGCCCTACCATTAAATATTCTACTCTATCCTACAGTTATACATGGAAAGTGGACGAAAAATTGGTACGAACTGAACCATTTGTTATAGTGACCATCCTTAGGTCAATTGAGCACACTTGAACGCACGAGAAAAGAACGAGGCGAAAGAGACGGTTAGACATGTTAATATCAAATCAGAAAGTGATTCTAAATCGCCGGATATAGTAAAGAACGAATCTATCTCAAGTTCTTGCCGGTGCTTGCCACATCCGCTCGCATGTTATTATACAGGGTAGAAAAATTTACAAATTAATTAATTCTTTTTTTTTTTTTTTTTCAAGAAAAAACACAAAGCAACTGAGGGAGAAAATGGGGCTGGAAAGCCTGAATATGCTTATTCAAGCATTTTTTGTTTGTTCATTAAGGGGTTATATCACTTGAAATTGATTTAATAGTTTTTTTTTTTTTAAAGACTTAAATTTTTATTTTATAGAACGCGTATATATTTTGCAGACAGCACACAGCAATATTCCGATTGCTGCTCTACACCAATCTTTCGTAGCTAATTGATTAAAACATTGTAGGTTAAATCAATAAAAAGCATGAGGGCAACTAAGTAGAAGGCTTGAATACTGCATGACGTACCTTTTAAGAGAAATTTTCTTTTCACATTTTTTCTTTCCTTATATATTCTTTCTATATATTGTAATGCACTTGTACAATTGACATAATTAACAATAAAGCAAACTTGACATACAGTGCAATACAAGAAAATGCAATGTTTTATATTAAAAAAGCAAAAAAAAAAAAAAAAGATGGTATGGTATACTTTTATCAGTTACATTCAGAATATATTGTGGCCTACTTTTAGGTCTTATTATAATAATTCGTATTTATAACTAACTATAGGAAACCATCACAATATTTATTATCCATTGCATGCAATTTAGCAAAAAAAAAAAAAAAAAAAAAAGAAATGACTTACCTTGTGGATGTAAGCGTTCCGGTTTAAACCAAGCGTCTGAAATTAGTAAATATTGATTATCTTAATTAAGTGTATGTTAAGTTGAAAAATAAGCGGTAAAGAAAGTTAGTTTTTTTTTTTTTTTCGTTTTTTAAATACACAGCACAAAGAGCATGCAGAGAATAAAAGTTTAAAAGATTTTAAGTCAAAGAAGTTAGAAATACATAGACTGAGATAGTTTTATTAAATTTCACTATTTACCACCAATCACCAAAGAAGGTTAAAATTATAAGATTAACGAAAGAAAAAAAATTGTTTTTTAAATGCAGAAATGATTATATTATGACACACTTACTAGGATCTAGTAAAGAACAAATTAATGGGCTTTTTTTATAGACACCATTCTGTGCAGGTTCTCCAATTGGATCCATTTTGTGCATTCTTTTCTAATCGTTCGTTGTTTTTAAAACTTTTATGTAGGTTTATATATGTATATAGATATATATGTCGATATATATTTAAGTATATATTATTTTTTATATCTATATTTATTTTAATTATTCTATTTATGCTTGAGCTTTGTTTCTTCTTTTCTTTTCGTTTTCTTCTAAATGTTTTCCACAAATGAGAAAATTCGCTTTGCCTTTATATCCTACAGCAAAACAGAAGGAAAAAAGAACGCGTTATTTCACAAAAAAAAAAAAAAAAAAAAAAAAAAAAAAATAGACTTATATCGAAAATGAAACCTTCAAAATTTTGAAAACCGAATTGATTTTTCAAAAATAAAATTATTTGTCATATTATCTATCAATCAGAGCTAGACATTTAAGAGAAAAAAATTTATTTTTCAAATTTTCCTTTTTTTTTTTTTTTTTTTTTTTTTTTTTTTTTTTTAAATTTTATTTTTTTTTTTTTTTTTTTTTTTTTTTTTTGTTTTTTTGCCAAACAGTTATATATTTCTAGAGTGAAATTGAGACGTAATCGAATTTGATTTAATACCGTTTCTTTGTTATAACATTAAGTAACTAAAGTAATGCAAAACGGATTTTTTACCGAAAACTCCTGCTAAGATTATAATTGAATTTCCCGTTAGCGAGAAAAGGAAAACTAGAGTGTACGAGGTGATTACTTGCAATCCTCATAAGGCAGCCTCATAGCGGTTGCGCAATATCGGCTGCAAAATGTAAATCCGCATAAAAAGAGTAAGTGTCGACGGTTGTCTGGGTTTATGGAGACCGTTATAACTAACACACAACGTTTCCTTTTTCTTTCTCCATAGAAAATTTTTTTGCATCCACATGCAAAAACACTTGCAACGCTGAACTGCAACAAAACAACTGCGAGATATCGAATCTCCACAAGAAAAAAAAAAAACCTCTTTTGTTTTTATATCGATTTTTTTTTTCTGTTTACTCTTTGTTAAAGAAAATGGTGAATTATATTTAAGGGTAAGTTTTTTTTTTCGGTAAATGCAAAGCCTGCGTATTTAGATGTATGGTGGAAAAGAAAAAATGTATACATTGGAAGACACTGTTGCTGCAAAATACACCACAGGGAGATTTCCAAGCAATTTTAATATAAAATTTAGGAATGAATATATTAGAAAACTTTTTTTAGTAACAAATATTAAAAAAATAAATAAAAAATATTTCAGACAAAGTTTAGAAAGTTTTATAATTGCTTTAAAAAGCAAGTCGCAGTCATCTTTCGTTAGTCGCCTCTTAACGACGGAAATATTTTCGCTTTGAAGATATCGAAAGGAGGCAAAGGTTTTAAATGATAAATTACAGGTGAATTGTTATTGGTGAAACCACCTCGAAACCATTTCTATAAGTTTTCTTTTCTTTTTTTTCCTTTAGGAAAAATTTTCCCAAACTTTCCAAACATATGGCAAGGTCGAGGTCCTTTTACTCTAATCTACCTATTTTCAGGTTTTTAGAAACTGCGACGCTTCCAGATGTGATTTCATCGCCTACATTCGTGATGTGTATTCTACAAGCACGATACAAAAAGAAGATAAAACGCTATAATGGGCTATGGTCCACTACGGTCCAAACATCATACACCACTTTGTTTAATGTAATTACTCTTAAAATCATAAGGCGTCATATGGAGAGTGGACCGAAAAGTGACCGATCCCAACTATATCCAATAGTCCGCCCGAAAATTTCGATCTTTATATGGAACGCAAGAACACCAAATGGGTGGGCACGCTTAGATCGATTCAGGAGGCGATTGTGGTTGGTCCCCCTGGAGACGCACTTACTATACCCTTATACGACAAGCAGTTTAGGGTATAGTTGGTCAAACCATGCACTTATTTATAATACAGGACGACAGATATAAGAATTCTACAAAAATGCAACAACAACACAACAGTTTTCTTTTCTACGAAAATAAAATGATTTCGGAAATGCACCTTGGGTCGCGAGTACATTTCTAGGTGTTTTAACTTATCGATTAAACTTAATAATTGATATGGGTAGATATTTCTATGGCAATTTTGTGATCTCGCGTACGATGTAAGTAGACAGACGTGTTATGGAATGATTACTTACTTCGCTTCCTAATACCCTTTCCCTGCCTTTGTATAAAAGCCTAGTACAAACATGTACTAAAAACGAACGCCAATGAATATTTTTTTTCAAACAGTCGCCAATCACACAAACATCACAGTTCCAATTGTTCTTCCCCAGCTACGGACAAGTAGGCTAAATTCCTTATTTTTTCTTTTTTTTTTGTTCCAAAGTCAGAGGTTCTCTTAAAGTAATGACAGCCCGCCAGAAATGCTTCAGTGTTGTCACTTCTCATACCTTTCTTCCACTTCTATTACCTTTCCTTCTATTCCAAAAAAGTACTAAAAAAAAAGTTTTGATATTTCTCCCTAAGAAAGACAACCTCATAATGTGGCTAATGCAAAATATATTAAAATGAAGCATACTCTAGGGATTAATGAGTGAAATCATTTCTAATTTAGTAAACTTAGATGTCTTGCATCAATGTAGACGACAGCTAAACATATTTTAATTTGATATTGAATTATTATTAACAGAAAGTTGAAGACAAAACTAAATTTTGGTAAAAAAAGGAAATAAATTTCTATAGTAATTCGTAAAGAGAGCAAAAGCAGCACTTTTACCCTAGAAACTAGTTTCGCATAGCTGCTGCAGACTACGTTTGTCGACCTTTTCATATGCTGACGTTATAGAGAGTTGGGCAGATGCCAACACAAGATACTTAAACTTCAAATACGTAACTTGGTGTGAAACTGGGTGTATTTGTTCCCGTCCAGGTCAGTCAAAATCCAAGTCGTAAAAAAATCCCACTAGGAAAGAAACTACCTTTTGGAAGTTTCAAGCCCTGCAGACGTAATGTCGCTAAAAAGAAAAACTATACGAAGTGTCGACAATGGTTAAACTTTATTCTTAATAGATCGCTCACAGCCACAAGTTTGGTTCGGCTTTTTATGTGCAATCAGCCAGAAATCTGTTAAGCGTAGAAAGTCGCTTAAGAAGAATTTTCGTATTTCTATGTTTTAGAAAAGTGAAGGAAACCTTATAATTTACGTATCACTCGCAAGCTCTTCCTAAGTGTTTGAAGAAAGCTTTACATTAAAATGTAGAATGCTAAACAGGGAAGATTTCTTATTGAATGGTCTTACACGTCCTACATTATAATATCTTTTTACGTTTGTATACCGTGCCAATGCATATGCTGGTGTTATTCTCTCTCTTTCTCTCTCTCTTTATAGAACTCTCCAGTAAAACATTCTATGCTGTATATAAGGCTAGAAGATATCTATATAACTTATACCAAATTTCTAAGTGATGCTGAGTTTTTGCTTTACGAATAAAGGCAAACTCGATGCAATGGTATACAAAAAGCAGGTAAGATAATAAGACTTTTATACAGAGCGCGATAAAAACATATCCGCGAGAGCGGTCGAGTAGGCAATAATCGCGACCACAAAGTCAATGTTCGTGGGCTTAAATCTCAACGCGGTAGAGATAACTTTGGTCTCAGCCACAGTAAGGCATAATATTTATTGATTGGGTTGTCTCAACCATTAGATTGCGGCCACCACTTCATTATTTCTTTCTTTCTTCTGACCGTCACCACATTACGCGGATAGAGGACATTCCCTGAGTGATTGGTCGTATTTAAAAAAAAAAAAAAAAAAAAACCAAATCTGTTTGATCGTCAGCATCCATCAAGCATTAAATGTCATCCTCGTAATCAATAAACCTTCTTTAACAATATTGAATATTAAAAAGTAATAGTTCGCTAACTTTGTGCTTAAAATTTTAGCAAAGATGCTCAGAGTGTGCTCAGTCAATAGCATATACTTCGATATTAAATTAGAAGATATTTACAAGTAAAGAGGATTTAATTTTTAAATATAACTTCGCTTAGGTGCCATTAAAAATAGACAAACAATTTCGTTAAATGATTGAGGTGTGATAAGTAAGTTGACATCGTCCGCTATAGTGAAAGGTAAAAAAGGGATTTTTATGCATTGAAAATGCAAAAGAAGATATTTTCATGTCATGAAAAATGCGAACACGTCAGTCATCTGACACTTGCAAATTTAAAACGTTATACGAATATCATTACATGCTACTTCACTTGCAGTATAGGGCATATGAAGCTTGTGGCAACATATGAACTAAGATGCACTTATCTCTTGTTATACCAATCGCTTCAGAATTATTTCATTAATCAATTTATATATGTCTGTCCGTCTGGCTGCAGGCAGCTCCGAAACATTATGACAAAGTTTAGTATACTGACGTAGTTTGGCTTAAGATCGATAGCTAGTGAAAATGTATTTGATCGGACCAATTGCATGCCAATATAATGCCTTACTTTAAGAAGTCGTTACATGAAAAAATTAACAAATCAAAAGATGATTCTAATCTAAGCTCGTCTGTTCGTTCGTCCACTTTGTTTTTTTTGTGCTCAACCTGCAGGCCGCAATTTTTGAGACACATGGACGTGCTTTGGCCCAAGTTGATTGGACGGAATCATTTCATTGACCACTTCTTATATAGCGCCTT